AAACTCTTGCCATGTACGTATGTGTTTTCTTTATGCAGACTATAGGTAGTAAAAATATTACTATAGTGTAGGCTATAAAGAAGTGAATTCTCTGCGAAAGTGCCAAAAACCGCAGCTAATGCAATGGCGATTTTAGGCTGCTTCAAAAGAGGAGTCACACTCAATAAAATGCATAACTTTAACAAACATGTTTACTGTTTGGCACAACATGTTCATGGGGGAATTTTGTTATATGACTTACCGTTTTATTTTCAAGTTAAAGCTTAAAGCTACAATTTTTAGCTGCCTTTGAGTGACAGGTTGGTGCTGTTCTAAATTGAAAGCATTTCAAATAAATGTATTAGAGTTAAAGTAGAAGATTTTATTCGAGATTACAGCTAACTAAGTAAAGTACCTAAAAATGCAGTACTTCAACAAATAATACAAACCACTATTGGTATAGCATACTTCTAAACACATTTTAAGGTAATGCACAAAATAGAAATAGCAATAGTATGCATTTCAAGTATACTAAATGACACATAACTGTGAAGGAGTTCTGTGGTATGAAGTGTACTTAATCTACTTTTAAATACACTTTTATAAACTAAAATGTCGGCCAATTAAGTCTGAAAATTATAAAGCTAGTCCACACAGAAAGTGACAAACGGTGTACATATTTGCAGACTTAACCTTGTGTACTTGAGTTTTTTTTGTAGAGGAAGTGGAAATGTACTTCTCATTTAGGCTGATAATAGGAGGTTGGTCTAGGCTGATTGAAAGTGTGCAGAGAGCAATGAAACAAAGCGCGAAGGAAGGTGGGGGGAACCAAGACAGAGAGAGAAAGAGGAGAGACCCTCTGCAGCCACAGCTCGTGTTATTTTAACCCAGATTCAGCACTGAAATATGGCCACCATGTGGACCCTCTCAAGAAGTGTGGCTCCAGTACCGGGCACAGCCAATGAGAGCAGAGGTGGGAGGAGGGACGTGGGGAGGGTCTGGGAGTCTAGAGTCAGAGAGAGAGAGAGAGTAAGGCATTAAAGTGTGTGAGCAGAGGAGGAGAGTCAGGGCAGAGACGCTGCATCTCCAGAAGAGCTGGACTCACAGACCAATGGAGACAGGTTTGTCTGATTTCCTTCATTATCCTGCTTTAGTTTGGTCATTTAACAAACTGAGAGGTGACAACTTCAGTCAATTATTCGATCTTACTGTCATTAGGACTCGTGGCTGATGTGATGGTGTGTAAATATTGTAGTTTAGGTTTCAATCACAGGCGCCTGGATGCTGAGCAGATGTGCAGAAGTGTTAGGAAAAGCTGGCTCCTTAGCAGTGGAAACCCTGACTATGGTCTCCTTTTGTTATTGGCTGCAATCTTCCTGAAATAATAGACTTTCTTTGTCTTGCAACACGTACACTCCAGAGCTAAGAAATGACTAAATCAGACTGATGCCTAAAGTAAGAAATGCTGCCTTGCTGTATTTGACTTATATCTTCACAGCCATTATTTGTAAAGAAAGTGTGACCTGACTAGTATTTGAGGTCCTCTGTGACCAATCATCCCCTGCATTCCCTTTCAGTAGCTGCAGGGGCTTCTCATTCAAACAGATCCTCACAGATTATAAGCCCTTCCTTTGTTTTAAAATTGCTTTGCCGTTGGGTCACATCAGAGAGTCATGGGCTGGACTTGCAAGAAAATCAAAGCTGCATACTTCTGAGTTTGTCCTTGGATAATATTTATGAGTTGTAGATCCTTTTGATTGCAACAGGTTGCTGAACCTTAGCTGAAGAGGTCTCTCCTCTCAGCATGTAGACCCTATATAAACGCTCCCTTAACCCCTCATCCAGCTCTAAACAAACACTCTCCATGGTGACGCGTCACTCCAGTCGTGGCATGTCCATAGATATGTAGATTGTTTCCGGTCAGTGGCAGCGTGGAAAGGCGTGTCCTGCTGTTTTGTTGCTGTGATAAGAGAAAGGCTGAGTGGACACTTTGAAACGGAGGTGGAGAAGCAGCGCGGCTGTAAGGATAACAATGTCCACTGAATTGCTGTCTGATCCAACACAGTCCAGTTTCAAAATATCTCAAGACATATTTGACGGATAGAATGACATTTTGTGAAGACATTATTCCCCAGACCTTCTTATTGCCCCAATGAGGTTTTGCCTTTTAAATGATATGTCTTTACAATTATTTGATAGATTACAAGGATATTTGGTGCAGATATTCGTGGTTTCCATAGGATAAACCTTTCCAACTTTGGTGATCTTCTGACTTGTCCTACAGCTTCTTCATGAGGTTTTAATGGCAATAGTCTCCACAAAAATTGGATTGTTTGTTGTGAAATTTGGAACAGACATTCATTCCGCAGTCGGGATGAATGGTAATAACTTTGATGATCCCCTCAATATTCAGGAGACCCAACTTTTGAAATTTGAATACTTTGGTTTATGACCAAATACCTACAACTAATGGCATTCCAATGAGCCTCAGATGATAGGTACATTTTGAGCATGTTAGCTTCCTGACAAAGCCTTTTGTTCATGTTGGTGTTAATGCTGTTCCTCTGGGACCAATCTGGCATCTTTAACGAACCATTTAAGTTAAACATGAATTTGTTTTATTGAGGTCTCACTGTGGAGAAGTTTCCTTCCTTCTCACTCTTTGGGGGGCATGTTTCAGATGGCAGGGAGTCTTGTAAGTGTGTGCGGGCATGGGGGATTAGTGTTGGGGGTCACCGGGGTGCTGGGTGCAGACTGAAGCTTGTAAACTCTTCTGTGTATGTAAACCGAGCCTCAAATAATCCTAGGTCTCCCCCCTGGTTACTCTGGGAGTATAAAGGACATCATAAATCCTCCTCGTGCCTACCAGGCTTCATTCTATCTTGGGAAACTTCTGTTCATGATAACCGCTCAAATCTGTCTGGGAACAGTGAGCAGACGTCTGGGCGTTTGTAGTGACAAATGCAAGGTACATTAATAGAACCAGACTTGTTTTAGATCTACTTACCCACATGCAATGACAGCTTTAGACAAATTGAAAGCCACTAGTGGTTACTATGTAACTGCCAGGAAATGTCAAAGGTTAAGTGTCCAGGTCTTCAAATGTCCATATATCCCCAGCTGGTTCAAATTGTTTTAGTTCCAAAGTGTTTTCAAACAATATTTATGTCAGTAAGGATTTAGTATTTGCAACTGGCCAGCAAATGTTTGACCCTCAAACTAACGACTGCCCGTTTGTCTTAAATCTGAACGTCAAACATGAGTCACGTCAAAGGACCTCTGGGACTTAGATGTCAACGGGAAAGAGTGTGTGAGTGGGAAGAGTTTGAAAAAAGTCCAGCTAGTGATTGTGAGGCAGCATCTGTTACTGCATCTGTTCATAGTGAGGCAACATATTTTTAAAAACTTTTTTTGTTGAAAATCTGTAAAGGCGGCTGTCTGTGCCTGTTCTTATGATCTCATCTGTTTTACACAGTCCAAACACAGTTGACGTTAGCTCAAACACACACACACACACACACACACACACACACACACACACACACACACACACACACACACACACACACACACACACACACACACACACACACATACACATACACACACACACCCTGTACTGTAAGAAACCGCAGAGCTGTGTCATTTTCTCCACTGGAGAAGAAAAAAGGCCTGGAAATAAAGGGAACCGTTGTTGATATCTCTCCAGGATGACAAAGATCAAAGTTTGTGTAATGCTCTTACTCACACACTTGCTGGGATGTGACCACAAGGGACGACCGTGGGTCCCGTGACCCTCGCAGTAAGGGCGGACAATGTGGGGGTCTGAGTGATGGAAACCTCGCAGTGTGGGCGGCACACGTGTCAACAGCGGCCCCCGGATCCCTGCTGGAGAATGATTAACAGACTCCCAAGAGGCGGCAGAGAAAAGAAAGAAAAGGAACAACTGTCAGCTCTGGCTCAGACCTTTATTTATAACATGAGCACAAAGGCCTGTATAAGGCTCTCCAACTTCTGTGTTGGATTGCATGTTCTGCTCATATTTTTGTATGTGTATCATAGATCAAATCTCCATCTTTTAAATATAACTTTAATAGAAACAGTTTTTATCTCTTGAGATATAACAGAAATCCTAAGGGCATTAGATGGGGACGATGAAAAGACACTTTATTTTTGTTTCATTTTTACTGGAAAAAGTATGTTTTTATAATGCAAAACTTTTTCTGGTGATGGTTCTAGTAAACTGTTTTATAATGCAATGTGCTGGTAGATTAACTTAATCAAACAAAAATCTCATACATGGAGTAAATAGAAGGCAAATGATTCTTGTGCTATTGTTTTTAATGTTTTACATGTAGTAATATGTATTAATTATGTCTCAAATGTGGCTGCTTAGTGTGTCTGTTCATGGTGGACGATGTGGGCTTTTAATGAAGCGACACTCAGCTCCCTCATTGTGCTGTAATGTCCCTGACTCAGCACAGCAGCCAGTTTGATGTCGCTGAGGTTATCACCCGTCATGTGACAGCCGCTGTGTTATCTACTGTTGACTGACCCCGGGTCAGCTGTGTGGGCTGCTTGATGAGAGGCCTCGGGTTGTTTTTCTCTCTGTCTGCATCCGCTTCTCATCCCGCTGCTTCCATGTCTATTTTAACCCTCCCCCTCCACGACAGGCATAATGTTTTTCTAGTTTTCATCTTTACAGCCTCGGTCATGATGATCCGCTGGGAGCAGAGAACACGACAAGTGCCCTGATCACAAATTCTTTAACATAAACACAGTGAAAACAGAAGAGGCCCACTTCAAATGAACACGTACCCACACAACTCATTAACTGATGATCGACACCAGAGGCTCCCCTCCTCCTCCACACTCTCCTCTTTCTGCTTCTCCACATATGACAGGGGAGAAACAGGAGATCTGCACTTCCTCAAATAAAACAACATTTACTTAGAGTTTCCTTTGTTCATGCAATTACACTTTATACATGCAATTAAATCACTCTCTGTTTCATCTCTTAGGTGTGTCTGATGTGACGCCAGCGGGCTGGCTCAGGGAACACAACTTCAATACAATGTAGACACCAAAAAGCAGACAGAATAAGAGTCTGAACACCGAGCCAACAGAAGGAGGGTGAGTTCAAGGAGGAGGAATAACAGCTGTGTCGAAGCAGAAGATAAGAAGAGAAAGAGAGGGAAGCAGCAGACTGTGAATCATTGACTTGGACCTTTTGAGTGCAGCGGTGTCACCGACTCCTTCCTGTGAAGTGTTCACTCACACTCAGATCTTCACCGGAGAAGGATCACAACCTCAGCTCTGGTCTTTGAGCGCCTCTCGCTCCTCTCTTCCACCTCTCTGCTGAGTTGTAGTCTGAACAGAGGGAGACTCCAGCCGTCAGCATGTGCCATGTCATCGTCACCTGCCGCTCCATGCTGTGGACTCTGCTGAGTATTGTGGCCGCGTTCGGAGAGCTCATCGCCTTCATGAGCACTGACTGGCTGGTGGGATTCCCCCGAACCCCCGATGCGGTCTACGGCCCCCATGGGGCCACCACAGCCGGAGAAGCCTACAGGCCCACTTTAGGCATCTACGGCCGCTGTATAAAACTGCCCCACCTGAAGCGTGGAATACTGTGCGGACCGTACGCCATACACTTTGGGGAGATTGCCAGCGGGTTCTGGCAGGCTACTTCTATCTTCCTGGCTGCAGGGATCCTGCTGCTGTGTGCCGTGGCCTTCATCTCAGTCTTCACCATGTGCTTCCAGAGCATCATGAAGAAGAGCATCTTCAACGTGTGTGGACTGCTGCAGGGGATCGCAGGTGAGCACATGACATGTATTTTTAAAAGTGAATGTATATCCAAAGCTTCCTGCCTGCAGAAGAGATCAAACACTCCCTTTTGAGAATTGAGAATTTGTATTTCTGTTTCAATATCAAAGGTACAGAGGTATCAAACATCAGGTTGTCATTACACTTAATCAGAACCGTTTGTTGTACGGGTGAAGAGCTTCAAAAACCCACTCTTGATTATGTTCCCGTGTCTAAAGATATCGGTTACCTATTGCTATTGTCAATCTGACCTTCTTACTCAAAGATGTGCATGCGTTTTGCACAGTGACGGGCCATTTCATATGTGCATTGCAAAGACGCATCACATGCAACCGTATCTGCTTGATCTCAAAGTCCGATTTAGAAAATATATTGTGCTAATGATGATGCAGCCAAAAAAAGGCCCTTAAAATGTCTGTAGCTGATCTTAAAATGTCCCTTTTGGAATTATATTTTAATTCAAGTGGCAATACACTTTATAAATGTAGATCCAGTAGGTTAAACAATAGCAAAGAGAAAAGTAAGAATCATTTTGAGATTCGCCCCTCTCTGAACTGATCTTACAGTCATCTGAAAGCTAACGTTTGTCAGGCCTCTAATTGTTTCTCTTCATTCCTGTGGCGTCCAGCGTTCATCAAGGTAAATGAAAAGCTCTACTTTCAGCTCAACACAGTCATTACGAGCGCCACAGCTCCCACCACGAGAATGATGTGTTTGATTTTTGTGGAGCCTTATGTGAACTTTACCCGAGCGGTCAGAAGTTTAAAACACACGGTGGCTTGTTTCCACCCTCAGAGCTGTCACAGGAGCAACCGCCACCCAAATATTTACTCTATACAGTCAGCTGCATATATTCAGATTCTTCATTGGCCTAAAAAAGGTGTTGACTGCGCATGCGTATCTCTGTTCGTGTGAGAAGGGTGTGTATCCATGGTTGTGTGTTTAAGGCCAAATCTCATGCCACTTTGACTCAGTGTGGTGAGTTATGAAAGGGAGGAGGCCATGAGATCATGCTGGCTGAACCTCCTCTTTCTTTCACAGACTTTAACTCTGGGCTCTGTGGTGATTATGGCTGTCCTCCCCCACAGTTGTTTATTTGGTGCCTGCCCAAACAGAAAAAGGTGGGCGTGTTGTGAAGGACATGCCAAGCTGTAAACCCAGCTCTGAGCCGGCCTGCTGACCTGAGAGACTGCTTAGAAATCTAAAGGGAACCATGAAAGACCTCTGGAAGGCTCATGTGAGAATTAATCAGGGCACAAATGGCCATTGTCTTCTGTTACATTTTCTTCACATATCTGGCTGTAGCTGCATTAGTTACATGTAGGATTGAGCAATATGACAATATATACCATTGCAATACAATGTTTGGCCTTCAGCCATTGATACCAAGGTTACTACCCCTGTAATACTTGAAGGTACTATAATCATGGGCAATGTTGCAAATCGATAAGCATCGATTCAACTTTATATCCGTTTTGTGTGTGTACTCATTTGCCTAGGAGTGTGACACATGGGGAACTATGAGTTCTCTGAACATGTTGTCACTACAGTCAGGATTGTTTTTGTGGCTGGGAGTCTGGGTTTCTTCTTGGATTTATTGTAACAGTGTGAGTGCAAGCTGAGCAGCTCTTCTTTTACAAGCAATTTTCTAAACCAGAGCCAACTTTCAAGCCTACAGCGAGGCAAGCAGTTGTTCCTACTCAACAGATTTTGGTGGAGTATTAAGTAAGCTGTACACTTACTTTTGCCTTTTGCCTTCATAGTTACTTTTGATACACCTGTACAAAGTGAGGCATCTACCTTTTTCATCATCTGAAACATTTTTCTGACATGTTTAATCGGCAGCTTTTGATCATTTCTAATGCAAACTTTGTAGACTTTAAAAAATATTTAACATCAGCAAACTACTGTACTTTATAATCCATAATTAATACTAATACTTTTTTACTTGATGTGTTTTTGGTCTCGGAATAGAAAACAAAACCCGATTCCAATATAGTTCTTACTGGATAGAATCCCAATGGCATTAGAAGCGTTTAGCTAACGGTCAATTGTAGATTATTTTTAGAAAAGTTGTCTGTTTATAGACACACCAACACAATACAGCCACATAAATGCTGTTACTCAACCTGTAAAGCCCTCTGTTTACATATCTATATAAAGCACTGGGAGTCTGGCTAAGGTAATGAAAGTGAGGAAATGCACCGCTGAGTCTCATTGTGGAGAGGACGAGGAAGAGGAAAGGGGGCGAGAGGAGCTTCAAACAGACATTGAGGAGTCGGGAGGGTTCCCTCTGTGCCTGTTAGGCTAAAGGCCGACAACCTTTTACTCATTCCAACGGCAGGAAGAGATAAGACCCAGAACCTGTTCACCTTTTCCAACATCAGTCAGTTCATGAGAGGCCTCAACGTGTCGTTTTGTGAGCCCTGTGAATGATATCACTTTGAATGATATCCACCAGCAGCGCTGCACCACACTGACTCTCTGCTAATCACTATTTCCACTACTCGTGCCGACCCTCCGGTAATGAGAAAACTGAAGCCAGACGGCAGATGTTTGGGGAAGAGATTGACCTCAGATGGGAAGATTGTGATGCCGTTGCCAGAGATGGTCACGTCATTGCACTTGAGTCTCCAAAGCCTATTAAACTAATCTTCTCATAGACTGATGTCACTTGTACTTCTGACTCTTTTGTCCCTTATGACACACTCTCTGCTGGACACAGTGTCTCGGATGCCATTACACTGACTCAGTTTCAGGTGGTTTTAAGATTTCAGCTGAAGGTAAATCCATTCCTTTTGCTTTACATAATCGAATGGATAAAACAGACGGTCTCTTTTGCTGAGGGTCAGTCTGGTACACTTTGTATCCTGCAGCGCACACTTGGAAATCCCCCTTAATACTTCTTGTACCTGTAAGTGAATTCTCTGTACGTGTTTATTTAATCACCGTCGTCACTCGCGTCGAACTTCAGCCAAAAAGGATTAGAGACGGCAAACAAACTTGGCCGTAAAACTGTCTCCAGTTCTTGTTGCGTTCGGTGTCGAATGCTTTTATTACCTGCTGTAAAGTTTCCTTCCAGCCGTGAGTCAAACCTCATCACAGGTTTAACCGTTGACCGTGACTCAGCTCGGGCTGGAACTGAGGGAAACAAAACAAATGTTTTACAGGAGTGACGATGATTGTTACATAAGATAGTGTTACTCAAAAGAATAAAGCTAAACTGTTGGCTGATTAAACATGGGAGTCACATGCATTCAATAGCTTTTACTGGATATCTGTGTGTTCGCAGTGGATGTGGGGTTGTTTCATAATAACTAATCAATTGAAACGCAAATGTGCCATAAAAGGAAAGCTTTTGGGATTTTTCCACTGCAGCATTTACGGTCAAAGATCTCAACAGGTAGCATTTACAACCAATAAACTATTATTCAATTGTGACACTTAAATCAAACACCCTAAACCCACTGTGCATTTCCTGCTCAGCAGCCACAGAAGGAAACTAGCTGCTGAAGGTAAAGAAGCATTTAGAAGCTAAAGGGTAAGGTATTTAACTGTTGAGACCAAAAACAGAGCTACAAGAGAAGGAAAATGACAGAGAAACACTCCAAATAAATAAGGCTTTTCAAAAACATAACTTTTTGCCTAAACAACTTGGTCTAAATAAAGTAAGTAGCTCCTGCTTTATCCTCCTGATCTCAACAATTAACTTCTAAATCTCAGTTAAAGTGTGACGTGATTAGGGCTGCACGATATTGGAAAAAACTGACATTGCGATATTGTCTTCCCCTGCGAGATATATTGCGATATGAAAAAATACAGGAATTGAAGAAAAGACAGTTTTTTTTTGTCCACAAACCATCCTTTCTTGAACTTTAATGCTATACAATTGGTATTTTTTTAACTATTTAACCGGATGAAGGATTTTAGTCACAGACTTCTGGATCTTAAATTATCAGAGCAACAAGCTGAGCTAGCTCAGTTATACTGCTGCAATCTGATCAAGAATGGTTGTGATTGGTGGTTTGCTGTGCATGCAGAGCCTGCATGTCACTCACTCAAGTACACCTGACATGAGAGCCGCACGAGTTTTCCTTTTGTAGCAAGCAGCAAAATAATTGTAACATGACGTGTTTGAGTTCATTTGCCTACTTAATATCGCACGTCCTGTGATGTCAATATCGCGCATGCGCATTACGCGATTATCGTCACGACACGATATATCGTTCAGCCCTAGACGTGATGCTTAAATTCAAGCCAGTGTCTAAACTTTGAACCTGAAATAAATGTCCATAATTAGAGACTTATTCTTCGTTTAGAATAAATTTTTTGATTTCACAGTATTTAGATTAAAGTTTACATCACTGGTCCAATCAGGAAACAGTATATCATGAAGTGAACCCCTTTATCTGCAGACAAGTTCTATTCTTGAAATGCAATAGTGTATTATATAGTTTGTTACAAAGGCTAAAATCACTGTGTTCCCTCAAGAGGAAGTTTCTGGTTTCAGACAGAGGGTGAAAAGAGGTGCTGCAGCACAGGCAGTATGAGAAACATAAAGACCATTTTGAAAACTAAAGTATGGAGACATGTCCCAGTAAAGTCACAAAATACAGTTTGAACCTGAAAATGAACAAAACAGCCCCTTTAAAACGTTTTTTTATTATTAAGTCATTTTTCACACAAAATACAAAACAGTTGATAAGTCTAGCTTTCTTAAATTCGACTTTTTCTACTGTGCTTGTACTTTTTGAACCAAACCAAATAATGATTAAATCGTTGCCAGTACTTCCCTTTGCCCCCTCCCTGTCTCTTCTGCTTATTTTCTCTTCTTGTGGATCCCAGAGGTGAACTCTGTTCTTCTTTTTTCCTGGAAAGAAAAAGACGGCCCTGATTTCCTGGAGCTGTGTGCAGACCTGCTGTGCTATATTACAGGGTGGAGGCTGTGGGAGCAGAGGTTAGAAAGGGGGAGGAGGGGGAGGAGAAGGGGGGGGGGGGTGTTTGGTGGCAGGCAAGCAGCTATCAGACAAGGATTGATGGTGGAGAATTGACAGTTTGGAAGTTAAGGGAGACAAGAGCCATTGCAGAGAGAATAGTGAGGGTGGAGTGCGGTGGGATATTAGGTTAGAAGGTCCAGCTTGTGGGGTGGGGGTGTGTGTGTGTGTGTGTGTGTGTGTGTGTGTGTGTGTGTGTGTGTGTGGTGTGTGTGTGTGTGTGTGTGTGTGTGTGTGTGTGTGTGTGTGTGTGTGTGTGTGTGTGTGTGTGTGTGTGTGGAGGTGGGTGGAGTTGAGAATTAAAACCATACCTACAATCCATCACTGGAGCTGGTCTGGACATCAGGGCAACGCGGCAACATGTGGAAAGAATTTATGACCTAGTTTTAATGTCCTTGTTTCATACGATATTGGGCCCTTTAAGAGGGAGGAGAAAGAAAGGAAGGAGAGGGAGACAGTTTTACCTCCACATTTGTTTTAATGTAGCAGAGCAGCGAGAACTGCTCATCAAAGGAGAGTTTAACGACTAGAAAATCTCATTCCCTGACTGTTTCATTTATTGTCTATAATTACATTATTATAAATGTTTCCTCCGGAGCTCTGATTGGTGGAGGGCCCCTTGTCTGGTCAGCTGACTGATCAACTGCAGAGCCGAAACCTCATGATTTAAATTAATGTATGAAAGAAGGTTGTGTTTTTGTGTATTTATAATCAGCTGCATCTATAAGATATGGAAGCCTGTTTGCGCCACGGGAAAAATAAATAAAAATCCTGTAAGTCAATATATTGACTTAGCTATCTCAATATATTGACTTAGCTATCTCAATATATTGAGTTATATATATTTTTTTTATTTAAACAATTATGTCAAATACAGAATAAGGCACATAGACATCAATGTTCATCATATAAGCGGTACAACTTTATATTATATATTACACAAATTAATCATCAACTAGTTGTTAATTAACATGCATATAAGCAGTATATTGGCAATTTATTAGTCATTATAAAACACTTGTGTCATCACTTTAATGTTAAAACTTGTAATTATTATATTTTAATAAATTGTATTCAATAATGGAATCAATAATGTTTCATCTTAATCTTAAACCTTGCAGCTCAATTATGGAGCTGATTATATTTAGTATTTTTAAACTTAATCTGCAAAGTACCTTAAATTGTAAAGAGGAGTTGAACTACCTTAAAGTAACAAAAAAAAGTGCTGTACTTAGTTACTTTTCCACCACTGTTTTTTCCGGTGTAGTATAAAGCCGTTGAGGATAAGTCACGGTGGTAGAAGTAGGTCACAGTAAGACAGGAAGTGACCTCATCCTTCCACTGAGACGCAGGACACCGGGGTCAGCCGGTGGCGGGAAAACCCTTCAGGTCCCTCCTTCCTGTTGTTCTCCTCACTCTGACGGGCAGGAGGGTCTAGACCCAGGTCCAGGTCTCTACTTCCTGCCTTGGCAGCTGCCGGTCCGGAAGTCTTGTTGTGATTAACTTCACTCACATTTAAGGCCGATGCAGGAAATCATTTCTGCTTGGTGCAACATTTTTCTTGTCCTAGTGGGATGCTTTGGATGCTACGATGGCACTGATGGCAGGAAGTGTCTTCGTACCAGAGAGTGGTGATGGTTAGGAAAGATAATGATAATTATAGATAATGCTGGATTCATTCAGAAACTGTAGCACTTTTGATCTACTGTGGGTTTTTGCCCTAAAGATGTTGGTCGGTTCAATCAGGTATTTTGGTTCAAAGGAAGGTGAAGGTAGACTCTTTTTAAATGTAGGTTTTTAAGCTTTGAAGCACAAGTCTGACATTAATTATGAATGTGGAAAAAACATCATACTGCCTTTTTTTCAAACAGTCTGGATACACCAAACTAACTAACTACAATTGAAGTTAAACACATTGTTATGGTTTATTGCTTTTAGAAGGTGGCCCTTTAAACTAGTTGTCAAAAACTGAGTTTGACAAACAATCTTAATTCCAGGTCAATGAAAAGAAAAGCCAGTAAGTGGGTGTGAGTAAATATTTCCAAGGTCAAGAATTTACTTTCGCGCTCACCAGTATGTTGGTACTCAACAGTCTTATTGTTTTTCCTTCAGTAAACTGCAATAAACTACAATCAGTTAACACACCCTGTAATGTTTTCCTTGTTGCAGGTCTGTTTCTGATCCTGGGTCTGATGCTGTACCCCGCTGGCTGGGGTTCAGATAAGGTGCAGCTGTACTGCGGGGCCGACGCGGCTCCGTACCGGGCCGGGCTGTGCTCCATGGGCTGGGCCTTCTACACCGCCATGGGGGGGACCGTGCTCACATTCCTCTGCGCCGTGTTCTCCGCACAGGCCGAGATCGCCACGTCCAGCGACAAAGTCCAGGAGGAGATCGAGGAGGGCAAGAGCCTCATCTGCCTCCTCTGAAGCTCAGATACTTTTGTCCTGTTGGGAAATGAAGAAGAAGAGGAAGAGGCGAGAGACACCTGCCCTTCTGTATTTTCTCAAAACACTGGCCTGTGAAATGGAGGCCCCTGCGTTGTTTACCACTAGACCTGACTCTGTTTTGTGATTATGTCGGAGGAATCTACAAGTGCCACGTTTTTTTTTCTCAGTGTTTGTCTTTCAGCCACTAAAGGTGCTGCGTCTGTTATTGTATTCGTGTTTAGCCGTGTGGACGCCCAGGGAGGCTTTGTCTGTCTCCACATGCTCTGTAAATAAGTGTGATTATATATATTTTGTACATAGTAATGATCGCAGAATGATTGGTCAGCTTGATCCAGGCTGGGCTGATGATGACACTCTTGCCTAAAAAAGAAACACAGCCTGCAAAACCTGGATGTGTAAACTGTTTGTGAGTATTAACTCAACAAGGGAACCACTACTCAGTCAGAATAAACTACTCACAGAATAAATGGCTTCAGCTCAGAGTGGATGTCCTGTAAAGCTTCCAGAATGTACTGTTATTTGAATGATAAATGTGTTTCAGAATAGCTTTATTAGTCCCACAGAGACCCTTGAAATGTATCGATGGAAGTTATTTTTCACACAGACTGCACAAGGACGGGCAGAGGAAGATCTTGGGTCCATTTTGTTTGTCCTCTATTCTGCAAAACCCTGAAAATGAAGTGAGCTTTATCCTTGCCTGAGCTAAAAGTAGACCTGTGAAGTGTCTGCTCCTCTTTCAGGAGACAACTTGGACATGAATGATGAGGACACACATGAAGTATTGCTGTTAGTAATGTCTGGTTTCAGGGAGTCGTAGATAGTGTCCTATCTGTTCCCATTTGTTTCTGCCAAACGAATAAAGAGAAGGGAGAAAAAAAACAAGGTTTGGTTTCAGTTTTGTATCCAGTCGAAGCTTTACTGTGGGTAAGGGGAGGAGATGGAGCAAGTGAAGCTGCCATCTTGGTGCTGAGACCTCGGTTTGGCCCTTGAGGTGTGGGTGGGAATGTTTTCCAGCCAGTGGGTGATCAGTTTTTCCACTGATGCAGAACTTAACTCTGTAAGTGTGTATTTTTATACGTGTGCTTCATATCCAACCAAATACACTGAAGTGCTTGAGTTTTTACAAATAAATGAACACCCGTTACAAGTCCTTACAAACAAGTTAACACAATGCTGATTGAGCCTTTTCCCTTCAGGGTATGCACTCTGTTTTTCACATTATACCTGAGTTATGGTTTTGCAATGGTGATGCATTTTACGTACGGGGATATAAAGGGTAACAGAAGCTGGGACTAATGCGGGAACTCCTAAGAAGCCCCCAAAACGGTTATTGGAGTATACACTTTATGTAAACATCTAACTTGCTGTTGGAGGAAGGATTAAAAACCTTCCTGGAGGTGGAGGGAGCAGCAGACTAACCTGCATATGGCAACCTTGTTATCAAAACAGATTCTTATTTTAACACCAAGCAGTTAGCAGGCATGCATTACTTTGGAAGTCATACTTGTGTCCACCTGATGCCCAATATTCACTCTCTTTTAGCTCAGCTGTTAGTCTCCACCATCTCCAGAGGAAAACATTTGGCTGCTAAATGCTTCACTATGTTCACCAGCTTATCTCAAACTGTGTCTGTCAGCACTACGAGGCAGTGAGAGTGAACTAAAACGGTAAAAAAAAAGTGAGTCGATCAGCTAAACAATGCTAAAAACCCGCTACAATGCTCCATAAAACCACAGGATCTGCAGATGTGTGGGATAATTCATCACTAGGACCCCTTTAACATTGTCAAACTGCTTTCATTTGTTTTTTTCATCCTAAAATATCAATTATGGCTCTTTCAAATGAACAATACATTTCTCTTCTCTTCCTTAGGAGCTACTAAATGTGTGTGTGTGTGTGTGTGTGTGTGTGTGTGTGTGTGTGTGTGTGTGTGTGTGTGTGTGTGTGTGTGTGTGTGTGTGTGTGTGTGTGTGTGTGTGTGTGTGTGTGTGTGTGTGTGTGTGTGTGTGTGTGTGTGTGGTGTGTGTGTGTGTGTGTGTGTGTGTGTGTGTGTGTGTGTGTGTGTGTGTGTGTGTGTGTGTGTGTGTGTGTGTGTGTGTGTGTGTGTGTGTGTGTGTGTGTGTGTGTGTGTGTGTGTGTGTGTGTGTGTGTGTGTGTCAGTCAGAAGAGTCGCTCCCCAGATGTTCCTCCCTCCATGTGGACTACAGAGCAGCCTCTGGCACAACCCTGTGGCTCCCTTCCTCCACTAGCAAACTCAAAACTAAACACAGCGCTTGATGATTTCCAGATTAGACACATGACAAATCTGACTAGTGCAGCAGAAACTGTTGGCCTGTTTCAGTGCCAGAGGCTTTCCGTTTGTAGAAAGAGTTCCTTTTACATCTCGGACAAGAAGAATGAATGTATTCTCATGGTGATGCCAGTAAATCATTATCTTTTAGGATACAAGAAATGTACTTGAAAACATTGAAATTAATGATTTAGTTTGACACACTGTCAGTTGTCCAGCTGATGTTTGCAAATCAAAGTAGATGGAAGCTATTAAAAGTTTAATCCTGTATGTCATCCACAGTAATCCACTTCCTGTGCCCACTCAGCTGAATGTCTGTGGCAGCTGTGAGCGCAGCAGCTGACAGCAGGCTGTTTTCACACACTGTAATGTATGGAAGGCATTTAAGAGGAGCAGCTCTGGGGTCTGCTGTTCCTCCACTCTGCCCCTTCCTGTTGGCACTGAACTGGGTCTGCTGTTCCTCCACTCTGCCCCTTCCTGTTGTCACTAAACTGGGTCTGCTTCCAGCTCCCTGTTAAGTGAGAGTGTTGCTTTTGTTTTATTTCACAGGTTTGTTTTAGCCAATCAGCACTTGGCCTGCAATTGTCTTAAAGTGTGAGTGTTTCTAAGCTGCCAGCTTTTGCCACTGCCACTATGAATAGTACTTCAAAAAATCATATCATGAATTCATTTCAAAGTCAGGAATACAAGATTAAAACAAGTCAAGTAAAGATAAGGAATACAAAGAAAAATGTTATTCAGTTATGGATAAGTATTGGGTTAAGATTAGTTAGTTAAAGCCTATCTTAAGATGTTAACATGATCCAATGCAAACAAAACTTTCAAACAATTTTCAACAACAAAGTATACTATACTAGCATTACAGAAATACTTCATTACATTATTCTTTAAACATGGTTTTTACTAAAAACAGATGTCCGTATGATGTGTTTTAAAATATTTTAGTAAATGAATGTTATCAGACTCAAAGCTGACTTTTGGATCGGGTCATATTATTACTGCTTTTATTAAGAGTAGGAATACCAATGCTAAAGGCATCAACCATTTTTGGGCCATTTTGGAACAGCCTACAAACGTAACGTTGATATAACATCATGGAGTTCTATTGCAGACACTTCCCATCCATATGTTATGTTTTTTTTCTTGCTTATTTGAATGGTTAGTATTAAGCCTCCTTCATGCTCTATGCATGGGGACATTCTCCTTTGCCAAGTTATTTACATTACATTGCATTTAGCTGAGGCTTTTATCCAAAGCGACTTACAATAAGTGCGTTCGACCAGGAAGACACAACCTTGAAGAAAACAGAATCATATAAGTACATCAGGTTTCATAGAGCCAAACATTTCAAGTGCTACTCAACTGGCTTTAGATAAGCCAGTCCTTTATTAGTATAAAAGTGCTTTGTTAATAATTCTATCGCTCGAAGTGGATAGAATTTAAAATGTTTGCTACCTTACCGTTGATTCTATATGAGAACTGACTTTTTATCTCTAATGAGGATCATTCTTCCAAACATTTGCAGTGAAGGGAAACTATTCTCATGTTATTTGATGACTACTGACCTCATCTGGTTATTAGCTGCTGGTGCAAGCCCACTTACTGTACACCCTGCGTTTGCCTTTTTAAGAGCATGGATCCGGTTTCTTTTACAACCTAAACCATTGTTTTGTCTGAATAATTTCCCCACATATAGTACAAACATAGGCATGAATATAAACAAAAAGAGAGAGCTTGAAACACATACAGAAGAAGAGTTTAATTTAGTGTTAATACAATAAATATACAAAACTCAAGCTACTCAACATGCGATTGAAAGTCCAACCAGAGTGCATCTTAAAATGACAACGAAATCAAGAGCGAACAGCCGGCCATCTCGTGATAAATCTTACAAAATATACAAACATCCCTTTCTATTTTCTTTTTGATCATTTCATTAAGAGTTGACTTCTTAGAGATGCTTCTGAATTGATTGAACTGTCAGTGTTTCTACTTCAGTCCATGTTGATCATGATGCTTAAGCCACAGCCCATCTACAGCACACAGTTCACATTGCAATCTAACGCCATTCTCACATACATCATGTTTTCTTAAGCAAGTCAAAAATAACAGCAAATACTGTAAGTGCCACTCAGTTTGATTGTTTTTGAGGAATCATCTCACGTTGATTCGTACGTAAATGTACTCAGGAATACACATGCACTGGTTCGACTCAATCCAGTGTGAAGAGAAGAGATGAGATGAGAGCAGAGAGCAAAACAAGGCATGTTGCAGGAAGCTTTGAAATCAATCCAGAAGGATCACAGACCCACAGCCAGACTCTGCCCTGCACACAGACTCAGACTTAAAGGCCAAATCCCCTCTATGTACACTCCAACACATCAAACACATACAAAGGCTTGACTGGTTTGAACATGAGACACAACACACAAAACAGATCAGACACATTCAGACTGTGGAAAAGCTTTGCAGCTCTTACTAAAGAAACATGTAGAAAGAGACACTTTCAAACGCATTTTAGCAGATCAAATACATTTGAAAGTCTAAATAACCAGGGATTTTAGGAGACTTCAAAAAGAATGATCGATGCAAGTCTTCAGATTTGAGTTCAGTGATCCACAATTGTCTAATTATGACTATGCAAGCAATTATCGGAGCATTACATCACCTTTACTGGCCCATTTGTAGCCTCTTTTATATTGCAACATGTTGATTTACAGCACATATATTTAAAAACAGGGTCCAGTTAGTGTTTCATTTCATATTTTTGTAACCTCATCATGCAGGTAAAGAGCACATCCTGAGTAAAACTGAGGTAAGTCTCCAGGAACACAAGAAAAGCTGGAGACGAGTTCCACTTCCCCCTTCACAAAAACGGTAAAAACATGCATCTGTATAGGGTGGTACTGTATGTTAACGGTGTCAGTATTTGTTTCTGAGGAGAGGACATGAACAGGTAGGCTTCATGTGTGAACTATATTGAGCTCAGCTGGTAGTTATGGACACGAATGAGCAGGAAGGCGAGAGGTCCTTTTATAAATATCCTTCCTTTTGCACAGTTTAGTGTGCAGACACAGATTTAAAGTGCAACTTGGCAACATTTCACAATGGATATGTAGACCATTATAAGCTAAATATTTAAAGCGGATCACAACTCAAAAGCAAACTTTAAAGTGACAGTTCACCCAAAAATACTTTGAGTATCAAACACTGTTGTTGGCGGGGAAGGTGGCTTTTAAAATGTTACAAAGTCTACATCATACAGCAATGGAGCTGAAACGATTAGTCAGTTAGTCAATGGACAGGCAATTATGAATATTTATGAATGAGTCCAGTCATTTTTCAAGTAACACGACTAAGACGCTACAGAGATGCTTTGTGCTAAATGCTAACAGCGTGCCAACATGCTTGTAATGACAATGCTAGCAGGCTATTGCTAAGCCGGTATAATGTTTACCATGTAAGCTTAGCTTGTTAGCATGCTAATATTTTTTTATTTGCATTAAAAAGTACAGCTAATTAGAATGTCATTAGTTTTGATCCAACATCTAATTTCACAAATTGAAGTGTAGACCTTTAAAATGATTAA